ATTTACCTAGTAAAATAAAGTTTAAATAAATGACATAAATGGTCTAATAGTGCATGTAAGTTAGTGGTTTATTTATTGTTAGTTACTGTAATGTTGCGCTGCTTTATTTGGTTAATCGTCCAGTCTGTGAAGAATGCATTCAAGTAAGAATTGCGTTGACTTATTTCCTGGCGCGTACAATTTATATTAGGTCAGCGTTCGCGGTTCGACTTCTGATATTCAGATCGAGTTCTAGGTCAAACTGGTTTGTTCGACTTTCAAGAAATTAGAGTTCTAGTGAGTTCGAGAACCCGAAGTACCACTGTACTAAGAAGTAGGATGCTGGGAGTATGGATGCTACGCTGCTGCGCGGCAGGCGTAGCGGCCTTAGGTTGTACTAGGCGGAATTGGCACGATGTTGCGGACAGGAAACGGGAGCCCAAGGAACACAATTTGGACTTGCAGTTCTCTTCGTTTGTATGTCTGAGAGTTCGTAAGTAGAGGAGCGTCTGTGCTATCTTTACACTGTAGAATATGAATTCTATTCCATTTCCTTTTAGGTCAACTAGTGTCTCATTGTCTGTGGGTATCTGCATTTTATGGGTGTCAAGTCTAATTTATTCCATATTGCCATCTCGTGCCCTGCTGCTTGGCAAGCTTAAGGAGATCCCACCTTATCTGATGGCTCATATTTTTATCACCCATCTCACTGTTTTCACTGGGGTTGCAAAAGTTTTCCCATATATTCCCATTAATCCCCAAGGAAAGTTTCCATCTTGGAATATTTCCAAAACACCCCAGCTTAACTATATAACCGTGGGTAGGAAATTTTCTGCCCCTTTGCAACCCTAGTTTCCACTGCAGCTCAGCTGACGTGTATGCATGTGCACATGCATGTTATACGTCTGACTGGCGTCTCATCCAGGGTGACCCTGACTTTGCTTACTAATGCAGGTTACATGTCTATGGGACTGGACTGGATAAGCGGTTAAGAAATGTTTATCCAAAGGCTTAACGTGGCTGTTTCTTTAAGCTTTTCTTGGGGGTTTTCCTTGATGGTAGTACCGTTGTGCAAAGCTGAGGGTTGCTGATACCAAGGGAAGTTCTTTAACGTGGCTGTGGTTGACAACACCTCCTTGATGGTAATTGAATTATGTGTTTTCTGGTTAGTTGCCTAGGCCTAGCAGCTAAAAGACTGGAGAATGTGGGTATCGATCCCACTACCTCTCACATGCTAAGCGAGCACTCTACCACTTGAGCTAATTCCCCCTGTTAAAGTGTTCTTGATATGCAATTATTTGAGTCACTTTTAAATGGCTCTTCAAAATTACTGCTGTACGGTCGCCAGAGAGTTGGTTCGTAATTCTTTTTATGTTTAAAAATCATCAAGTAATAGGTTACGAGCATTGACAGATAAATGAATGAAAGTGTTAGCAAAACACTACACCATTCCATGTACTTTAGCATTTATTATCTTAAGTCAATGTCCCAGGGTATGCCCACTGCATTATTCTGAATAGCTAGTGGTAGCTTTTCTTGGGGGTTTTCCTTGATGGTAGTACCGTTGTGCAAAGCTGAGGGTTGCTGATACCAAGGGACGTTCTTTAGCGTGGCTGTGGTTGACAACACCTCCTTGATGGTAGTTGAATTATGAGTTTTCTGGTTAGTTGCCTAGGCCTAGCAGCTAAAAGACTGGAGAATGTGGGTATCGATCCCACTACTTGTAACATGCAAAGCAAGCGCTCTACCACTTGAGCTAATTCCCCCTGTTAAAGTGTTCTTGATATGCAATTA